CATGTCTGTTAATTCTGCGTTAGAGTAACCAGCCATAGCGAAAGAAAACTTGTGCACTGAGAACAACTGTCAAATACGTACTGTTTATTTCACTAAACATCAACCAACTATTATAAGAAAATACACAACGTTTTTGCAAAATAAAAAAAGGGGCTAAAAAACATAAAACATTCCATATCTCCGCAACCGTTACTTTGCGGACCCATGTTTATTGAGACTTTTCTGCTTATTTTGGTTCATACTATTACCTCCTTAAATATTTTACACTCTTTTTTTAACACCCTGTATACTCGTCGTATAAAGGGGAAGAAATATGGAAGAATTTTTGTAATAAAATTTGTTGAGAAAAAAGAGGTCTTTCTTCGTGACCTAATAATAAAATATTTATAAAGTTATGAAAAATAAATGCTATGACAAGCTCTTGGGATGATAAATTTTAGGTAGAATTTTAAATTTAAGTAAAATACATTTAAAATCATGCCATAGTGGTCGTTTTATTATAATGTCGACCAACCATCAATTTTGGGTACCTATGTGGTAAAAGAGAACACAATTTTTTAAATACATTTTATTAATTTTTGATTGTCACGTTTAAGACTGTATAGAATTTTTCGGTGAAATGGGTAATTTTAGAGATACCTACATTTTATTTTAGAATTAAAAATATAAAGCTCTTTTTCAGCATAGGAATGAATCAATCGAAATTCGTCGAAATTCTGGTTTAGTTAAAGGTAGTATCTCCCAGCATCATTAACTGACATAATTGTATGCAAGTTTAGTCAATTTTTGCCTTTATTTAGTCAGGTCACTGGTTCAAATTTCATTAGCCTAAATTGGACATCCTCACGCTTCTTTCAAGAATTTTAACACCTTGTTTCTCTAAAATTAAGTCATATTTAGAGTTGTTTCAAAATCTTATGAGCTTTGACCTTGATATGCACAGGAACGTAATTCCGACCGTCGCCTAAATTATTCTACGTCCTAAAAACATTACATCCATTATTCGCAGTCTATCTCGAGCTCTCGTAGCGTAAACAAGCCTTTGCTCCGATTACAAATATCATAATAAAATGCTCTATTCTCTATTATATTAATTTAAGCAATAAAAATATATATAACGAACGTTCACCAGTTGACTTTATTGATGCCCGAGCGCCTAATTATGAGTTAATGTTTTCACAACGTGCTTATTAAAAGAATTATGTGGATACGCCACGCCTTTCACGCATTACTACTCTAAGTTATACAGGAAGCCACCTAATACCTGTGGATTGAACAACAATATTGTTAGAATTAAATATGTGCACATTTTGTTCATAATTCACTCGACGCGTTTTTAATTTAAGTACAATTTTTCCACTTTTTGAATTCATTCTTTTGTAACTAAAGAGTGTCCCAAAAGAAACGCAAGATTCCATATGAGGTAGAAAGATTTTATTAATGAAAAAGTTGACAAAGTATATTTACATGTTTTTATAGGGTAAACATTGCTATTAAATATGAAAGAGGACATCGGACAAATTCCCTCCGCGACTAATTTGGCATACTCGACTTTTTTAAGAAACTTTTGCCGCAAAAGTCGCATGGCATAAGATCGCATGATCTTAGTGGTCAAATCAATTCACTGTTACGTGATATGAGTCATCAATTAAATTTCTGCCGTAACAAGTAGATAGTTTCATGTGCTGTGTGACAGGTGGCATCATCCTGCTGTAACCACATGTCATCCAAATCTATGCCGTCCAAGAGAGGCCACAAAAAGTTGATTAGCAAAAAGTTATGTATGTAAATTGTTAGAAATATACGTTTTGTTGAAACCATAACGTATTCTGGAATTCTGGAATTCTGTGGAAAAGCTACATAAAGTATTAAATTATAGTTTTTGAGAAATTTACAATTTTCACTAATAGAAACTCTTAATCGATAAATTCACGTTTGCAATAATAATACATATAAAAATATTTTGTACTACTGTTTCGTATTTCATCGCAAAATGCTTCATGAAACAAACTTAGTTCTACGTCACCCTTAAAGTACAACTTGTGACATATTGCTGCAAGAAGTTGCCATTTCCAATAAGTAAACCTATTTTACTGAAGTTTTCGACCTTTTCTATCATGTTCTGATCAGTTATAATTCAAACACAAACAAAATACGATCCATAATGCAACTTATCTTTTTACTTTAGGAAATTACAAATGATTTGAATTTGTGTGAAGTAATTCATAAAACGTTTCCTAACCAATTCGATCCCCAAAAAAAAAATAGAGAATGTGTGTCCACGAATAGAGTTGAATAGAGGGAATTTTTTTCATACGTAACTTTTTATTCCTACTAGATAAATTACAGTTCGATAAAATTTCTACCCTATGCCTATCGTGCTATGTAATAGATTATAATAGTATATTATTNCATGTTCTGATCAGTTATAATTCAAACACAAACAAAATACGATCCATAATGCAACTTATCTTTTTACTTTAGGAAATTACAAATGATTTAAATTTGTGTGAAGTAATTCATAAAACGTTTCCTAACCAATTCGATCCCAAAAAAAAAAAAAATAGAGAATGTGTGTCCACGAATAGAGTTGAATAGAGGGAATTTGTTTCATACGTAACTTTTTATGCCTACTAGATAAATTACAGTGCGATAAAATTTCTACCCTATGCCTATCGTGCTATGTAATAGATTATAAATACATTTTTTGCTCAGAAATCGTTAATTTTATGAAAAAAGAGACCTTTTTTATTTGAAATGAAATGTTAAGATAGTAATAAGAAAATAAGTTACGTATGAAACAAGTTTTAGGGGTGGCTTTTTCTACCCCTTACAACCGTAGGGGAAAATCAACAAATTGTGTACTGAATGCCTTCTCGATAGCAGAAAGTGTCTACTTAATTTCATTTCTGCCACTTTGCTGGTATTTCAGAAAAAAATGAAAAACTACCTTTTTGGCGCCCCCTTTAAGCGGTTGTATCTTTACAGAGGATGTTCAAAATGAATATTTTTATATGAAAAATGCACCTTATTTTCCCACAGCGAATCACTCCCTAAATTTTTTCGCGCTTATTTATTTACAAACAAAAATTGCTTTTATTTTGAAGATTGTTAGGTTCATTAATTTCTAATTAAGAGGTACCTATTCTATATTTACCCAAGACTAACTGAGTTTTCATTTGTCGTTCTGTTTAAAAACTTATTAAATTTGGAAGTGTTTCTGCAATGTATTTTTTTATTTTTAACACTCAATAAATTGATTAGCAGCAACATTTAGTTGAGGCTTGTTTAGTATATCACCTTATTTTGACCTCAGGAATGTTCTTTTAAGCTGTGTCCAATAATATGTCCGTTAATAAAACACCCTTTATATGTAGTTTCATGGTATGTTCACTGCAAAATATAGCAACATCGCGTTAATTGAGGCCTTCTTAAGAATATATTTCAAATTTAACTTTCGCTGTATTATTAAGATGAACTGAGTATTATTTCTTCCGTTTGTAACATAAGGTTTCCAATATAAAAGCAACTTTAATTATCAATTGTTTGAGCAATTAATGACTCTTCTTTGTTCAAACAACTTTTTGCGTCATTGCTATAACTTAATCAACTTATGAGTTCAGATTCCTAAAAGACCATGAATAAAATGTGAGGAAATTATTAATGGCTGTACCTGAAGCGAGCTTTACCATAGTTCGTTTTAGAGAATGGTAGCTGATCTTTAAGTCGTTAAGACGAAAGTTTGGGCTCTTATTCCATTGAATTAACATAATCAGTAGAGTGTATTCAAAACTAGGGTAAAAAACACTAGGTCGCTAAAATCCATCGACGATAATTGCATTAAATGGAACAGATTACTTAAAATTGGTAAGAAACTTTAGTTAATTGCTGGTACTTTGTTGCTTAGTTAGAGCTACGTTTAGGATTAGCTACGATGCTTTATAATTTCGTATTTCGTATAACTAAATATTTAATAACGTATTAATATGATGATGGATATCAAATTTGACAAAAAATTGTATATAGTAGTGTTTAATAAAAATCAGGATTATTGGATTTTCATCATGTTCAAATGATAAATCCTCTACGTTCAATTGCTTTTCAGGAAATAATAATTATTTTTTTAATAATAAACCCATAATTTTCGATTGAACTTACTTGAAGATAAAAAAATATTTTGTGCTTTTCTAATCATTTCAGGAGTTTCCCTTACCTCGGCATTAATTGCATTTTATATCTTGTTGATATAAAACAACGTTGATTGCTGTTATTACTTGAATGAGTGACCATTCTGAGAAGGCTTGTGTCGCTCGTACACCTTCTAGTGACATATCCGTCGGTGTATTCACATAAGATATACAAATAGACGAGATTTGTATAAAAAAACTTATGTCCCTCAGGAACCGTTAGTTAAGCAAGCAAAAGATCCTTATGCTACAACAATATGGAGGTTCGTCAAAATCTCAAGGTTGGGGGGTTGCTTCCTAGTTTTGGATCTTATCTACAGTGGAAGAACTGGTTCCTTATTACTTGTATCTAAATGATCTTCATTAAGTACTAAGACAAAATTAAAGCTGCAAATGGTGTTCAATTACAACAAACAAACTATCGAGTTATAGCAAAAAACTTAAAAATTAACCAAAATATGAAACTTAGCAGTTTATAAATAAAATAATATTTTAAAAACAAGCCCAAAAATTAATGTTTCTTGGCTATTTCTACAAAACTCATTTAATTTTCAGTTGCTCAATATTCACCAGTATTGTTATGCATCGTTTTTTTTTGCCCAATCATATACTACTATTGCAACATTTCTTTCCCTTCTGTTATTTTGTTAGATCAACAAAAATGTCATTATTGACGCATATAATTTTCAATCTGCATGTTCAAATGATAAATCCTCAATTCAATTCAATTTAAAGCTGTTTTATTCTTTCAAATTGTTTCTGTCACTTTAATAAAGTTCGAATGTTACTATTTTGTGTACGTTTTTGTTTCAGTATCACCACTTTTCAATCTCCATGTCGCTTGTACGTTGATTTTGTTCATTAGAATGTCCAAGAAATTTCCAACATTTTTAAGTAAAATTGATGCGTTGGATAAAAGTTTCGTGAAGAAGTACAAGAGTAGTACGAACGTGAGAAGGAATGTAGTTGTATTCGCTATTATTGCTAATATCATTGTTACAGGTAAGGAAAACATATACTACGTGACAGAAAAAACGCATCACCCAGTAAAAGTGTATATTTTTTAACTAACTTTTCTACATGTGTTTATGGTGTTAAGAATAACAATTGATAACATTTTCATTGGAAAAATCGCATCCTATAGAGTCCAAATTCAGTAATGGGTTGTCCCTCAATTCCCCTCCCTTTAAATGAATACATTCTACGGTTTATTTGGGTATGCTCCTAATCATCTATGGAGTCCTGAGGACGGTCATCATAAGCAACTTGTAGAGCATAATGCAGCTATTGTAAGTTCATTGGAGGATTTGGAAGCATTTCCAATCTTTGATCCATCATATCCCAGACATGTTCGATGGGCGAAAGGTCAGGCGAAAAGGAGATCATTAATGTTGGCCTCTTCCAAGAATTGTAATATAACCGCTGCAATATGAGGACGAGCGTTGGAACGTGATGTTATTTAACCTTCGAATGTATGGTATAGCAAACAGTTCCAGAACTTCATGAATCTATCTTTGGACATTCAATTGGCCTTGGAGAAATACTAGAGGAGTTCTGCTACCTATCCTGATTCCATCCCACACCATCAATCCTCTGGAAAGAGATGTTTCTCGTTCCACGGCAAACTCCAAGAACCGCCTTTCATGACACTATTCCATTCTCCATCCCAATTTACCCGTGCATTGCACCATTCCAATCTAAGGGCACGGTCACGATTGGTTAGAGGGAGTGTTAATCTCGATCGATATGACTTTATGGCTTATCTCATGCAAAAAAAAGTTATATCGATCTGGAGGTATTGTGGCGATCCCTAAGGGCAAGCAGTCTCAACCTCCTGTCTTCTCGATCTGTCCTTCTCTTTGCATCCGTCTACCGATTTCGCGAAAATCAATTTCCGCCTCATGTAGGCCAATAATACAACCCCTTTCAAAATCAGTCAGTTGATGACAATTCTGCCGTCTTCTAGCTCTGGGCATTTAATCACTATAGCTTGGAACTGTTTCACTCGAATAATAATAACAAACTGACTAAATACCAGAGAATAAAATTTAAAAAAAAATTGGAAGGCATATCAAACAATATAAAATGTCACTCTTTTTTTTGATATTTTCACCATTCATTACTCTCTACATCTTAAGCATATGTATAGACTTTGGTTTTAAAATATTGACCTCAACAGGGTGATGCATTTTTTGTCACGTAGTATATAAGGTAGGTATAATATTTGAACATTTACTCGTAAACTGAAACTTGAAAATTTTAATTACATTCGGAGTACTTCTTACGTAGGGGTCAAAAATTCTGTAGCGAAAAATAAGGGTTTTTATTATATAAATGTGGGGTCTTAGGACAGCCATTCTCCAGTTAAAGCGTGTCAAAAATTAAAAAAAAAATCAAATTTTAAATTTTAATTTCTAATCCGCTTGAGATAATTTAACCAAATAGCGCATTGACATATTTTATTTGTAATATTATACAGGGTGATATATTTTTTTTGGCAAATAATGATCGACGATATACCCACACCTCCGCCACTGGCAAGTTTCTAAAGCTGGCAATTTTTTGTTATATACTTACCCATATATGCGCACCGCATTTGGTTAAATTATATCTAGCGGTTTAGAAATTAAAAATTAAAAATTGATTTTTTCTATTTTTGTAGCTGGACAACTGCTGTCCCACATTTGCATAACAAAAAACCCTTTTTGGCCACAGAATACGCTCCTGTATTTTTGAAAGTTGACACCTAGCAAACCACTGACGCCACTGATTAAATAAAAGAACTAGGCTATATTATGTTGAGTAACTAGTTAAAAACTTTATTTCGCATCTCATTTCTGATGTACAGAACGTAACTTTTATGAATGTTTTATTTTACGTGATACTTATTTTTTTGTATGTTTTGATAAAAAATGTCATAACGTCGTAAATAAGTACTTCTAAGGTATTTTATATAAATTCTATTTAACGCTATATGATGTCGCTTCAGACGTAAAGAAACTCGTTTATTTATTAATTCTACCAACGCCTTCAGAAGGAAATTTCGCAAAATATCTCTAAATATAGGATCATATTACACCAGGTGGACTCCTTCTCAAGTAAATTAGCGTGAGCCTAAGGGCACATTTCGGAATTAAGGAATGCGACAGCATGACAGGAATTTCTTAAATTAGTTTGGGAGGATAAATTCCTGAAATAGAATTAGCGGGCATTTGTAACTGCCACTCACAATAATTATGGCCCACTTGGAAATTAATTCCATGAGATTGGTCTTTTTAAAGACATTTTAACTCCTAATTATAAAAGAAATCGATATAACACCAATGGGCGCTAAAACAAATATGAAGCAAAATTAAACGAGGAGATAGCACGTCATCATGATTTTTTTAAATAGCAAGGCAAATTTTATTGCCCCTTCTTTAAAAGTTGAAAGTTATACATTACTACCAAATTTCAAAAGATACATCAAAATATATACAGGGTTTTCAAAAAGTTTGGAACCCCCCCTCTATCTCAGAAAATACTGCTCAAACAAAAAAATTATTAGGACAAAAGTTGCAGGGTTTTGAGTGAGTAATCTAAGGGTGACCTTGACCATGATCTTAACCATGACCTTCAAGGTCACTTAGAGGTAAACGGATATGATCTTGACCATGACCTTCAAGATCGTTTACAGGTCAAGTCGATTCTTAACAAATGACCCGATATTCTTGACTGCGGAAATTGAGTGAGCGTAAAATTCAAAAATGACCTATACCATGTCTTTGACCATGACCTAAAGGTAACTGAAACGTCAAACGTAAGCAAAGAACTTAAATTTAATAATGCTCTTACGAAAAAAATTTAACGGCAAAAATTTTCTTAGTTATCGAATAGTGATATTGTTATGACCTCGGCCTTGTTCCGAAAGTAAAAATAGCGATAACTTTCAACATAATTTTAAGGTCAGAATAGTTTTTAAAACGGTAACTCTTACATTTGCCTCCAGTAATCGAAAGGGTGACCCCGAAAACCCCGAGTACATTTTAGCTTCAGAGACAGGCTGTTGGAAATACTGTGACCTTGAAACTACAATGACATCAAGGTCATAGTCAAGGTCATATCCGAACGTAAAATTTTTTGCTCTTTTCATTTCCGGGATTAAAAGTATACGGTTTCATTTAAAATTTTTAACTTGACCTCTAAATGACCTTGAAGGTCATGGTCAAGGTCATATCCGAACGTAAAAATTTCCATTTTTTCCATTTCCGGGGTCAAAAAATATACGGGTCCATTTAAAATTTTTAACTTGACCTTTAAATAACCTTCAAGATCATGGTCAAGGTCACTCACTCAAAACCCTGCAACTTTTGTCCTAATAATTTTTTTGTTTCAGCAGTATTTTCTGAGATAAAGGGGGGTTCCAAACTTTTTGAAAACCCTGTACATAATATTCTTCTAATGTTATTGTAGTATGTAATTTTAAAATATGTGCTTTATTATTCACTTAATTTGATTTCAAAACCGTACTTTGAGACTTGTTATACCTGTTTACTAAATTTTTTTATTGATTCCATTAAAAACAGAAATTGAAAACAAATTCCGGGTTCCGTGGCAGTTGTCAAAGGTTAAACAATTTCCAGACTAGATTCTACCTTGCCGATGAAAATAGATATTAAGTCCTTTGGTGGCCTTTGATTTTTGCGGATGAGTCTTTCCCTAGCTCTATGTAGTTCTAGCCACTCATACAATGGAACCTGAATTCATGCTACCGCAGTGTTATGTAAAACCATTGATCCATTGATAATAATTGGATCAAAGAAAGATCATCATAAAAATGGTCAAGTGGTTAGGTTTCTCAAAGGGGCTCATAGGCTGAAGAAAAGCGGAAAATTAGTTTCTTCAGTAGAACCAGCATCAGGATTCTGATGGATCATAGACATCTAAAGACATCTAAACAAGCACCTCAATAAAATTGGTTTGACTGTCAGCGCAAGATGCAGGTTATGAAGACGAGAATTCCATAGACATCATTATGTCGTTATGTTTGCTTAATGGTAAAAAGGCGTAAATACCTGGAGGTAGAATTTACATCACTCCTGAACATTATGGAGATTCCAAAAGAGCTTCTGATTGCTTTCAAACGAAGCAGGGGCCTGTTTTAAAATAATTCTGATTAACCCCTCATCTCGACCGTAATTATTTCGATTCTTCTGGACTTCTATTGCCTTTCTGTCTGGGCCAAAATCTTCTCTATATCTCTCTCAGAATTCTAGAGTTAGTTAAGTTTATCGCGTACTCTACATTTGCCCTGTGTTTCGAAAAATTTTTCCGCGTTATCACCATTATTTTGTATTAGAAGTGACTACTACTACTCTTTTAACCTAGGACTGACGTGTATTCCTTATCTAATGTATTGTTTCCCGCTTATACACGAAATGCGTATACACCACGGCCTTGGAGTAGATTGTCCCTGCATCTGGTCTTGGGTTGTACATATATTGAAGTATTGTAGATAAATAAAAAAATAAAAGATGGCATTAATATTGTGTTTCCTTAAGATGTGTGTATTTTGTTTCCCTGTCAATAATACATCTTTGTATAGGTATATTTCAGACTGTGACCAGATAAATCCCTTTTTTTATTATCCTCCAAGAGCAGATCGCAAAGTGCTGTAGTTCCTCGCCTAAGTGTTCTGACTCGCAGATGATCCGTCTTCAATTTTTTTATCGTCCGTATGATATTTTTTTTGAGATAGACTTTCAAAAGACCCCTGCGTCACTTTCTTGGAATTAACCGCATTCGACACCCAAGGTGTAATAACATTGGCGGTGGGCGGGGTATTCATCGTAACAGCTTGCAGTGTACAGGGTGGTCCGAATTTTATGCAGGAAACTTCTAGGGGAGATAGATCTCTTTAAAATAATATGTGTTTGCCTTATAAACATTGGTCTGGAACAGCCCCGTTTTAGAGATACAGGGTGTTGAAGTTGTTAAAAAAAATTGATTTTTTGTTTATATCTCCGGAATCTATTAACCGATCTCAATAAAATTTGGTACAGATAATGTATGATAGTAGGCCTTAAATTCCTTAAAATATGAGCTTTAAAGGTTCAACCAGTGGTGTACAACTAGACAGGGGTCACCATTTTTTTGCAAAAAAAACTACGCCACTGCATTTTCTATAAGTTATTGTAACGGATTTATATTCTAATGCACAAAATACGTAAAAAAGGTAACTTGAAATTTATCCCTAAGATTCGCCGTTTTCATGTTATTCATACCAATACAATCCCCTTGTGCAGACATATATAATCATAAATTATTACAAGAATATTTATGTTTATGGTCTAAAGTAAGTGCAATTTGTAAGCACATCAACAAAATTCTTTACACTTGTTTCCACACCACCTTACTTCCTTACGCATTTTAATTTCCCCTGGAAGTCTAACCCACTATCTTTACAAATAAGGACAATTTAAATCAAAATAATAATAAATGTACATTTATATTTGCCTGCATATTTGGTCACAAGAAAATCCTCATGAAATTCGGACAAGATCTTTTCAACTCGAATTTTCTGTGAACGTGTGGCTCGGAATAATTCGCAATAAAGTTTGTGGACCTTTCTAAACCCGTCTAAATTTCCAGTCATTTCTATACTTTCTAGAAAACCATCTATTTGATTTATTAGAGGATGATCCATTAAAGCTGGATACAATAGATGGTGCTTCTGCGCATTCTGGGAGAATAATATAAGAATGGCTTAATTAAAATTATTTGAGTCGATGGATAGGTAGAAAACTAAATGCCAATGTCAACCATAATTATGGTTCAGTGTTTTGGCCAGCCAGATTGACATATCTAAACCCCCTGGACTTCTGTGTTTGGGGTTATCTGAAAAGTAAAGTTTATTCTACTCCAACAGATACTACTGCAACGAATAGAAGACGAGTGTAATACAATTGTTGTAAATACGTAACGTTAATTTTGTATCTTGTTTAGTCGCTGCTGCTTGGCAAATATATTTTTATTATTATTTTGATTTAAATTGTTCTTATTTATAGAGTATTAGGCCTCCAGGGAAAACTAAAACACGCCAGGAACACTACCTCACAGGTGGTGTAGAAAGGAGTGTAAATAATTTTGTTGATGTGCTTACAAATTGCACTTACTTTTAAGCATAAGCATAAATATTCTTGTAATATTATGGTTAGAAGTGTCAGCCACAAGGCAAGTATTGGTTTGAATAACTTGAGAACGGCGAAAAAAATTAAAGTTACCTTTTCTACGTATTTTGTGCATTAGAATATAAATACGTTACAATAACTTGTAAAAAGTGCAGTGGCGTAGTTATTTTTGTAAAAAAGGGGGTGACCCCTGTTCAGTTGTACACCACTGATTGAACTTTTAAAGCTCATATTTTAGGGAATGTAAGGCCTACTATCATACATTATCTGTACCAAATTTTATTTAGATCGGTTATTAGATTCCGGAGATATAAACAAAAAATCAATTTTTTTTAACTTCAACACCCTGTATCTCTAAAACGGGGCTGTTCCAGACCAATGTTTACAAGGCAAACACATATTATTTTAAAGATCTAAGATCTTTTATCTACCCTCGAAGTTTTCTGCATAAAATTCGGACCACCCTGTATACTGTGTTCTTGTCAGTATTTCTTATTGAAATAAATCAATGGAGGAGTAAAATAAAAGAAAAATCTAGTTTATACATATTATTTACGTTACTCATAATATATTTTAATATTCTGAAATTAACAGGGAAAATTTCAAGACACTCCCCTGCCACGGTAAATTGTTACAGTAGTTCTGATAACAGAACTTTATTGGTTTATTCTTTTTTTGGAATTATATTTCAACAAATATTTTTAGGGATTGTAATTGTTCGTATTATTTCTACATTTAGCTATAAAAAGCATTCTTAAATGTATTAATATTCATATTTTATATATATTGCAGTATTTATTTTTTACTTTTCAGTGGAACACTCACTACAAGCATTAACTTTTATGTTGACCAAAGACTGCGACAACAATTCTACAGGCCTGGAATATTACTTTAAGAAGCATTTTCATTATATATTTGACTTTTTTCCGTACAATACAGCCTTTGCTTTTATATTACTGGTAAGAAAGATTTGTTCTATATTTTTTTTACTGACTAATAACATTTTTTTTCATATTGTTTTATAATCGGAAAACCACCTTTTTTATACTTTATAAATTCTATATAATCAGAAAAAAATGATCTTATAAAATTTTCGTACATTAATAAATTTTGAAGTTCTGATTTAGAATTGAAACTACAACTTCAAAAAAATTGATTAATATAACGAGAAGACTAAATCTGAACAAAAACATCTGAAAAACTAAAGCTGATTTTCGAATTATCTATAATCATTTTTTCATTAATTCTTGCCATAACAATGTTAAACTGGGTTTACATGGTTTACGATTAGTTTATGTTTGTTTTTTATTATTTTTATATTTTAACTTCGTCCAAGTTTATTTATCTCTGTGTTAGACTGTAAATTATTTTTTTCTGTACCTATTGTAAAATTAAAATATAGTGCGGTCATTATTATTACTCCAAAATCTATAAAAGTGCGGTAATGTGACATGTGACGCTCTATATCCCAAGAACCAAGCCGTTGCAAACCCATGTTCATATGAACTTTTTATCTTAAAATTAGTCAAAAATTCACTTTAAAATTTGTAAAACTACTTAATAAACACACTATAAAATCGACTCAAATGTCAACAAAGTGACATGTTTACTTTGGCGTTTCGGCGTTTGATATTAAATCCACTGCATTGCAGATTTAAAATTAAGCAACTAGTCATTGTTATTGGCAGTTGTCGGTACTATCAACATAACAGCGTAATAAAACGTAACGACTTGGCAATGTAAATGTAACGAAAGTTATTAATTCTATAGTTTCCATTAAAAAAACATAATTCCCCTATTAAATTAGAAAAATAAAAATTAAATACACACTATTTACTGTGTTAATACGTTATTTTAACCTATTTTAAGAAAATTCTTATCTATGTTCGTTGAATCAGAAATATTAAAAATTTGTATTAAATATACAGAAATACAGCAACAGTGGACTACCGAAAGTATAGGTACCTTTTAATATATCAACTTTTTGCTTGTACAGTACCTTTTTATAAAATAATTTATTTGAAAGTCTGATGAAATTTAATAGGTATACACGTATTTTTTATGTTTAAACAGTTTATGGCACAAAATGCACTGCAAATAGTAAATATAAGTAAATTTAGTGTAATTATACGTTGCTCTTAAAAATATAAAAATGTCTGACAACATCATTCTTATCCTTCCACGGTTTATCCACTAAATAAGAACAGTCATCACCTCTGAAAGTTTTAGTCTCGCTCACGGCAGTAATGCTACCCCAGCCTTCAGCTATGCTTTAGCAACTTCTGCCACATTATAATTTACAGAATTAGGTCATCTAATTTATTTGTCCAGTTGTACCTTCTGCCCAATGTCAGAACTGAAAGAAAAAAATTTCGAAGGGGACGACAAATTTTACGGTCTTTATGACGTCCAGTGACATATAACAATACAGCATGAAGCAATGAAGAAGATGCTTTTAGGAATGTTTCTAACGAATACTACATATATTTTGTTCAATATTTTTAGCAATTATTAGAAAATTAAATGGAGATGTTTTAACAGTAGATAACTATAAATAATGTAATGAATATTACATAATTTATTAGAAGAAATAAAAATTAACTTCTTTTCAAGCAGAACTTGTTGATTTAATTCTAGAAAGCGGTATTCCGTCTTCATTTTAGTAAATTTAGTTTCATTATCAGTTTTAACTCATATTATTAAATTATATTTCAGTATAAATAATTTTCGGAAAACGTTATTTATTTTCAGGCAGTTATCATTTATATCAGTGTATCACGAATATCGACTATATTATATGAAACCTTAATAATAGTCTTATTTATTTACTTGATCTATTTCTAAAATACTTATTATTGAGGAATCTTGAAATACTTACGTCTTATCTGAAATAGATTTTAAATTCCGTTGATAGTTTGCTAGTTGAACCATCAAATTTATATTTTTAGCTCCAAAATTTTACTCATTTTGTGCATCCGTCGTATATTTCCCATTTAAGTGAATGTCGTTATCGATCACAGACCGTTAGTTGGACTTTTTACTCATAAATTTCCGTTTTTAAAATTTTTATACAGGAATTTTCGGATTTGGACTGCAGATTCATGGTCAGCGACCTAAAAACCCACGGTAATAAAATTCAGGCAAAACTATTATCAGAAAAATGTGTGACTTAAGCAGTAGGTAGACTCTAGGTGGTTTCCAAACCTTTGGTATTCACCTACATTTGGTATCAATCTACATTCATATATTTGGTATTAAAAAAAATGCAAGGCTATGGTTTTTCACATTGTTTTTCATTAACATTCGTTATTTTATATTTATTTAATCAATCGTTTTTATAGAAATATTTACATTTCCATTACGTAAACAATGCCTTTATTATTATTACTACTACTTACTAATACTTTAACTTAAGTCAAATATTTTTTTGCTCCGTTATTTTTATGCTAGAAAAGCTTATTTTGAAATTTTACAAGTGTAGTTACATAAGTAGACAGTATACAATACACTTTAATGTATCTGAATAAACGTACAAAAATTTTAATACTAAAGTATACGAACGCGTACTCTCTGCCTCCCTTTCGCTTCGATAAGAACGATAAACCTAAAAACTAGGATAGATAGCAAGACATCAAACCTTATTAGTACCTTTTGGATATTTCGTCAAGGGTGGCGTATTCTGTGAAGTAATAAATTTAAAATACTCTAAGTGGCTTTTACCACACCAGTCGTCTTAGCTAAGAACTTGTTACACTCTATTTTCCTAAATGTCTCAGTTGCTTAGATTAAAGGAAAATTCATGTACGGGGTGCTAACCAGTTCTCCAATCTTTTCCTGAAATAAAATTGTGAGTCTTGATGTTTTATTGTGATATTTTAGACATTTAATAAATAATAAAAGTAAGATAAAAACTTTGAATTTTCAAACTGTTCGCATACTTATGACTTGTACGGAATAAAAATATTTATAATTTTTACACTAGTTAGGTACATTAATTAGTTTACTGTTACAGCTTGCCAACTGGATTGGTGCATATATTTGGAATTATGGGGATGTATTTATAATTGCCATGAGTATGATTTTGACTGCACGGTTCCATGAAATTAGAGAAAAAATTTGCATCTACACCAGTGCAATGCCCACCTCAGATAAAAAATTTTCAAAGCCTTTATCCAATGATTTACAGGTATAACGTTTTAACAGTAATAAATTAGATACATATGCAACAAGAATAGGTCGCAGTTTATTTTATGGTTTTGCGTTATTAACGAAAAAAAAAAGTTCTATTGGTTATAATTCATAGAAATAATTTCTTTCTTTTACTACCGTTAAAATATTTATTTTAGAAAGTTATGTAGTATAAATATAAATAAGTATATCTATTATATAGAAACATAAGCAAATCATTTTCAATAAAATATCTATACAAGATGATTCCCAGTGATATCACCAAATAAGTTATAATAACATACAGCTTGACCAAATTCGTGTTGTCTGCAAGATGCGCAAATCAAAAAAAGAATCCGCGACAAATTTTACACATCTTTAGACAAATCTCTCTCAATCAATTATGTGGTGCGAATTATACAAGGCTGATTGTGAAATGGACATCATGTGCACCAAATTGTGAATAGTTGTTACAACAAAATATTCAAGATCTCTATACAGGCTGATTCAGAACTTATCCAAAAAAAATTCTGGATGTACAGGGGACCCTTACAAATACAATTTTGCAAAGAAAAAATCAAAAAGGTCAGTTCGAAATTGATTGATTGATACACTTCTGCACGGCACTGGAAACTGGCAACTGAGTTGCTATACACGCAAGCTATTTTTGACACCAACAACTAAAAAACTGATGTAAATAACACAGATAACAGGTAAAAACTACCGCAGCGAAGGATTTCAGTATTAGGAGTCACATGGCTCTCCACGCGTAATGCGAATGACGCTAGAGACTACAGTTGTCCAGCTATATAGTGGTTTAATGTGCTATAACTTTAATTATAATTTTTTTTCCAGAAACTATAAGGATTTTACAAAATTTTTTTTTATAATATTGACTCCATTTCTCATGCCGCATCTATTCCCAAATTTTTTTGGATAAGTTGTGAATCATCCTGTATACAGGGTGTCCGGAAATTCATGAATCAAAATTTGGTCATAGATTCTTAAGACAAATTCAGGGGACCCGAATTTTTTCTTTTTGCCAACTGGCCCCCTCTTTTGGAGTTACAGCCCCCTGAAATCTGCCCCTAAGAAGTATTTTTTATATCTCAAAACCATGTTGTACCAACAGGGTTCTGAGATATAAAAAAAGATTCTTAGGGGCGGACTTCAGGGGGCTGTAACTCCGAAAGAGGGGGCCACTTGGCAAAAATAAAAAATACAGGTCCCCTAAATTTGTCTTAAGAATCTTTGACCAAATTTTGTTGCATGAATTTCGGAACACCCTGTATATACCAGATGTGTTAATTACATATAAAACTGTGTTCACAACACACATGTCCTATAAATCTGCATACCGTTCAACGCGATTACTTCTGGCACTGTTTTTCTTTGAATGTTGGGCATTGCCGACAAACGATTAATATTTTGCCAATCAAATGGATGATTTTCAGAATCTAAAAAAATCTGCCTGAACTTCTTGAAGATATGGTTTTAAACCACAAATTCCTGTACGATGGTGCAACGTGGTTTCCGACAGAATCTTCGATTTATAATGGTCACCAAGGCCTCCTGACTTAAACCCCCTCAAATTTTTTTTATGGACACTTTACTGAAATGCATCGTACAGAAGTGAAAACTACTGATGGTTCTCCTGATCGTATTACAACGAATTTACAGTCATTTCCCTTTAAAAAGTGGCCAAGGCCATTTATCATGAATATTAACCGAGATCTAGCATGACATCGAAAATGGGATGCATTGTACAACTTACATTAAATTTAATATTTTCGCGTAGCAGAAAAGAAACCTCTGTATTACCGAAAATAAAAATTTACATGCACAAAATACCAGAAAATGTACCGGTGATATGAAGTTCTGTAGTTAAATTTAAACACTCTCCTCACGTGAATGTTTTCGTAATATGGTAATATCCTAGATTACGAACTCATTTCCCAAACATGCCTAGTAACATTTTCCTGATATTACAACGAGAGTATCATCAGTGGCAGTGTTTCTACCCTTTTTTTAATGTTGCACATCACTACGCAAATATTATCGCAGATATTCAACCTCAAATTGTGCAGCATTTCGACACTGATGGATAGCATTCTTATTTACGTTCTTATTTGACTAACATTTTGTAGTACATACTTGCAGATGCAGCTACTGTCGGTGATGAAATGCAGAGATGGGATACTGTCAACATACGAATGAATAATGAGATATCAATTTAAATCATTTCCACATTTAACTTGAATTTAACATAGTCATATCATCTAGTTCAATAGTTTCACATAACAATGTAGATCATTTGTTTATTAAGCTGAAGTTGAGACTAGGGTGTGATTGATATTGAATATCAGCTGAGCCAATTATTATATTCGATCTATTCTACTTACTAACAAAAGCATATTCAACAAATTAAAAGATCTTTTTAGTTAGTTTTTAGATGAAGCATTTTTTTATTTTTCAAATTTAAATAGAATTTATTTCCTTTTTACAGTCTTTTATCACTGTCATATAGAAAAATTACCTCATTGCTGAGCAAAACTTAATTTCTTTCTAACATTTTGATAGTTCCTTTCTAAAACATTGAATAATACAAAATATTAATGAAATAATGTGAATTTCGTTATCAGAAAAAAACATATTTAAAACGTAGAAAAATAATAATTAATTTGTTATTATTAGGTATATTTCTTACAAAAATGACAACAAGCAATTGCAAATCGATAATTATAAAAAATGTAATGTCTAAAAAATATTGTTATGATTTGTTCTCATGTTAACTTAAAAGGTATAAAAAAGGGACCAACAAATAAAATTTTTGAAATAAATAGAAATATTTTTTTTTTTATTTTTTTTAATGTAATATAAAAAAACTGACATAACAGGGGTGTAGATCGCAATAAAGTTTAAAATGAAGGATATTTTGGTATGTAAAATAAGTTTGTAGTAGTATAAGTTTTAAATTCGTTCTATGGAACGTCTCAACTGTCAAAATTATGATCAAAACTAAATTTATACATTAAATAGTGGATAAAATGCACTCATNTGCAAATCGATAATTATAAACAATGAAATGTCTAAAAAATATTGTTATGATTTGTTCTCATGTTAACTTAAAAGGTATAAAAAAGGGACCAACAAATAAAATTTTTGAAATAAATAGAAATATTTTAATGTAATATAAAAAACTGACATAACAGGGGTGTAGATCCCAATAAAGGTTAAAATGAAGGATATTTTTGTATGTAAAATAAGTTTGTAGTAGTATAAGTTTTAAAATCGTTCTATGAAACGTCGCAACTGTCAAAATTATGATCAAAACTAAATTTATATATTAAATAGTAGATCAAATACACCCATGCATTATTAAAAAGATAAAAGGAATAATAAAGAACCTTTTAGTAACGTCAGCTATCATATTAATGTACAGGTATACGCAAATTTGGAAAAATTTCAGAATTTTGAAAAGTTTTCGACGGAAGCAAAAGGAATTTCACACATTTCAATTTCACAAGTAACAGGCAATGAATCTTGTATAAACTTAAAATATAGCATACCTACAAACAATATTTATGACTGGAATTAAACCTGAGCCAGTGTAAAGAGTTTCATGTAGCGCTTATAAAACGACAGATCTATGGTATCGTCAGAATTAGTAAATCTCTAGTTTTAAAAGTATAGCAGAACTGCAAAATAGATTATGCTAGTGTAAAAGACCTTCATAATATCAGAAACTGTGTTGGGATTCAAATCAAAGTTCAAATTTTTGTGTAAACTTTAAAAGTTCTCGGCGAGTCGATGAACCTAAAATTTTTCAATCGTTTAGTTTCAAAAAACAGGAAAGAACAGTTAGAAAAGTGAAAACGGGGAAATATTAAAGGCAATGAATGGTATTGGTATAAAAAAAATGCAGAAAAATCTAAAGAATCTAAGTATGTAAAGACCCATGCAGTTTAAAACATGCAGAAAGTCAGTATTTTGAAAATAAAATTTCTCAAAAGTTTATTGTTTTCAGTTCAATAAAACCAAAAACCGAGCATATCGTAGCTAGTCTCACATAAATCTTCAAAACAGTAACATCCTCAGTCTAGCACCAAAAATAACAATTGAATATCAATAATAATCAATAAAGTTGTGAAAATTACCTATCCAGCCATCTGAAAGTGAAACGTCAGATACATGAAGAGATGTCATACGTCATAACCACACAATGTCCATAAATGGTTAAAATCCCGGAAAGTTTATAACCATCATTAGTAATAAACATAAAGTTCGACACTATAATTTGAACTAGTTAAAAGTTAGCGGAATAAAAAAAAAGTGAAAAAGTGTAGTCAGTGGCTGCTGGTAACGTTACAGTGATTGCAGTCAGAACGAGTTTCTGGACGTCAACGTCAAAAGAAACCAGCAAAACAAAGAAGCGTATTGTGAGTTGTCTATACATTAAAATTTGGCCAAATTGCAATTGCACATATTAAATTCGAATATTGAAGACATATGTAAATTTAAAATTTAATCGTATATGCATATAACGTAAAACCAAAATTTACACGTTATCAAATCTTGAAATGTCGACACTATACTATCAAATCATAACTTTGATATTTTAGATTAAAAGGGGGAATCTTATGTAGGTAATTGTTTTATTTAGCCTAAGAATAAATTTTGTCAATTATAAAATTAGAATCACACACAAAATTTGTAATATACTCATACTTGTGAAAATTTAAAAAACATTTTAAATTACTATAAGCAAATCTAACAAAATAAAATTACAGGAAACCACTCCCTGATGTTCAGTCAGCTCTACTCTCAATAAAAAACAGGTTCAAATTCAAATTTAAACATTATTATCAAATGGCGCCCAATTAATAAGTAACAACAAATAATTAACAATAATTAGAACATTATCAAATTCATCAAAAACATAAAAATATGTACATATAAAAATGGAACATACATATATAAAAATGAATCAACGGAACAAAACTCTTATGAACCTGTGTT